TTACATTTGTTCCAGTTAAATTGGGAGAGTAATTTGAAATTGCTAAAGCTAGTCGGAATAAACCATACATAAAAATTTATTTTTCTAGTTTGAACAGTAAGATGGGATATTTTTTTATGAAGTCACATTATTTAATTATTTTAAAACTTAAACATTTAGTTTGAAATGTGTTAAAAGAGAAAAGAAAAAGGGCCTATCCTAGATTTCGTCTGATCTCTTTTATCTGTAATGTATGCGCCTCCACCATAAATCTATTAAATTGCCCAGGTTCCATATTGTGTTTAAATTTTAGTTATGCCAACTGTTAAAAGCAAATTACTCTCAAAACATTTGGTAAAAAACACCAACTCATCGTCTAACTATATGTACATTATGCATTTCGTGCTTAAGATAAATACGATTTGTCATTTTGAAAGGACCTTTTGTTACTTGCTATTCGAAATGGAAGCATTTGCGTCTAGAATTCAATTAGTTCATCGCTACTTCAATTAAAGACTTACGAGAGACAGTATCCGGATGTAAATCTGAGTTTCAGAATAGGTGGATAAGACCCAGGGTGGGTCAATGGTTTCAAGAATTAGGTCAGAAACAATTCGTACGTATATTTCAAAACAGTTTACTTTTACAGTGACTTTTTCTATAAAATTAATACCTATATAATACGCACGTGGTTTATTTAACCAACGTTGAATGTTTAATATTAATAATTAACAGTCCGTAAAATTTTAATTTTAATTATGAGTTTATATATTATATAGTGATCTCGCAGTGTTTGGCTTTTTTTTATTTATTTCAGTGGGGGTACTTAGTGTTTTACATATAGTACATAATATATTTCCTGCCACTGAATAAAAAAAATATCCCAAACATTGTGTGACGCTTTATATATTATTATTTAGTGTATACAGATAATTGCGTATTGTTATATGTAACGCAAAAATGTGTTACGAAATAGAAAAATATATGCAGGTACAATATTACGTTGTTTTGTACAAAAACTTAGAGTGTTACTTTAAGGAGTTTGAAAAGTTCGACATTTCCTATAGAGTGAACAATCAAGAATGTTCTTTACTTATACAATATACATAAGAGTATAATTTAAAACATTTGATATCATATAATGACACTGTTGACATTATTCATAAACTACTTATATTGAATGGTGCTGAAGCACGGCCTACTTCTGTAGAAAAAATGTAATTAAAAAGATTAAGTTATACTTTTTCATTTGCTTGCGTAGATAGATAGATAGGTAGGTAGGTATAGCTTTTTCAATCGCATATTTATTTTTATAACTGTAATATTTTTTGCAATATACTATGATAGAAATAAACTTATACAATTCAATTTTATACAATTTATGTCCTTGACGAGTTTATTGTTAACTGTCTGTTTTGTAATTTTGAATACATAAGTTATAACTTATAAATAATTACAAAGATTATCGTACAAAATTTGATTACATTTGTTACCTAGTTAAATAACATTTTGGTATTCGATATTGGTTTTCGTATAGAGTTATTATATTTATAATTCAAGTTAGTCTACTGATAATGTAAGTAGTAGATTTTACAAAAGATATACTTTCTATTTGTTATATATAAAAAATATACAAAGGTTTTTTCGTTAATTAAAAAGGAATAATGTACATTTAAATATTGGCATTTTCAACTGTATAGAAAATGTTGATGTTATTAAGTTGACGCTTATAGAGATGATTGACAATTTACTATACCTACTGAGAAAAATTTAACACAAATAATTACTTTTTAAAAATATTATGTATTTATGTTTTAAAATTAAGCTTTCATAAATGTATTTTTATTTAAACTGATATGTATACAGGTATTAATTAATATAATTCATAATATTTATGACTCCTAATGATAATACCTAATGTTATAACTTATAACTTAAATGTAATGTAACATTATTATATATTCAATTTTAAAAATAATTTTGAAACATTTATTATAACATGTTCTAGTATTATTTGTTGATACTAAAATTATAGTAATAAATTGAAAAAGGTAGTTATAAATTATAATATTGATTGGTAATTGTTTTTTTATGTAACAGGTGCCCCTAGATTTGTTGATACATAAATTATAAGTTATACTGTGGGTCAATATTATTTTCTGTAACTAAATCACCAACATAATTTATATTATCTTTAAATTTCTTTTTATTTATTCGTTTTTATAAACATATTTATTTTTTTAATAATAATAATAATAATAATAATACAGTCTAATAAAAACATGGAATTTGTATTGATTATAACCTTTTACAGTAATCAGTTATTAATCGATATTCTTATTAGGTTTTTATACTAGCTTTTTTTCTTAGAAACCTATTCATTAAAGCAATTATAAATAGGTTAATTTTGTATGCAATGTGTTACAAATGTAGAATAAGAAATACATATGTGCAAAGTCTACAGATTTTTAAAAATCAAGAAGAGATTACTTATATTAAATAAATATTAAGAGATTTGATATTTTGATGACAATGATAGGGAAGGAACTCAGGAGTTAAGAGGATATTAGTGATTTTTAATTTCCTAAGAAAAAGGAGAGGGATGAATCGACTGGAAAATATTAAATTATTATAGGTATAACACGACAGCCATGGAAATTGCATTCTGAATACCTACACTCTACAGTCTCATGTCTTGGAATGTGTTGAGAGAATGAAAAGTTTTGTTTGTATTAGTTTGTATGTATCTTATCTTATTAGTGTGTCTGGTAGTGTTTTTCTGACGCCCTGGAAGACTTCAATCATTTATTTGTATTGTACATTTAAAACCATGTACATTGTAAGCAGTCTTACTCATATTCTGGAGACTCAAGAGATTTATGGCAATCGGTTGCTTATCACCCTTGACGTTTCGTAGTGCTCAGTAGTAGTAATTGTGGGTACACTCGAGGGCTTGAGAACATGAGTATCGGCGGACGATATATTTTCTCTTGTTGTGGTTTTCAACCTAACGTATGAATACAGAGAATATTTAATTTGAAAAATGTCTAAATGGATTTTTGGCTAGTTTTAAGTCAACAATCTACATACGAGAAGATAAGTAGCGAACGTGTGAATATTGTTAGCCAAAATTTCAAGCTCCTGGCTTATGAACTTCAGTTGAATGGTGAACATTTCTCATAGTTTCAAGAGTCTTGCTAATTTTGTTAAAAAAAATGTGACTTAAATTTATAATCAATGTCCGGTGAGAAGTTTAGCACATCAACGATGGCATAAGAAGTTAAACCATACTACGACGAACGATAAGATTCATAGGGGCCTCTAGGAAACAAATTTATTGGGACCTTAAGACATTTTTTTGACTATAGTTGAGGAGTATACAGACGTTACAGCATATATGAATAGAATTAAGTTAAGCCTATAATTAAATCTAACAAAATGCATATTATAGATTATCATTATAAACGTCTGACGAGTGATGTATAGTATCAGAAATTCTGAATGTATTAGGTTTGAATCAAATGAAACAAAAAAACATAAAATCGATTTGATGCAAAAATAAAACACTATTTTATCCATGGACCATGTTTTAAAGTAGTAGACAATACTAGGTACTCGCGGGACCTAAACCAAAATCAAAGTTAATTTATCAAGAAAAATTCTTTAGAATACCTTTCAAAAAGATAGAAGTACTTATCAATATTATATCGAAATGTATAATAATAAAATACTATTATTATTATTTAGAACAATGATTAATGACATGGTTGTTTTATATTATGAATAGAAAAACAGTCTTTTGTGTCTGAAAAGAAATGATTATTTATCAGTGTTTAAAAAAATAGACGTCGCTAGAATAAACGAGCTAATTTCCACTAGACAGTCTATCATGACTAAGGTTTTAGTTTAACATTTTTATTTTCCTTTTAAACATTTAAACGACTCATGAATAATAAACAAAAGGATATGAAGTATTGTTGACATATAATCTAAACCATATCCATAAATTGCCTGACAGAAATTCGGCACCTGGAAGCTAGGTGACTTGAAACATACTCGAGGAAATTTCAAACCTGACAATTAGTGTAGTTTAGTGATCTTTTCAGTTATCTAAACGTAGGTGCATATATGTTTCAACCGGTTGAAGTCGGTAATTTTAATGATTCTACAAACAAAGTATATAGGTTACACATTAATTATATTTTTTTTATCACTATCGTCTGTTAGGTTTAATACCTTTTCTCTTAAATGTTCCTATTTATAATAAAACCTTAAAGTTTTCGATTTAAAAATGAAAATAATTGTTGAAACAAGTCCAAAACATTCCGTTCACACTGGATATATCATGATACGCCATGTACCTGCATCCGACGACGACAACGTACACCTATCAGGTGAACAGAACATCATAACAAAATCCATATCACAATATTGTTCAAATTCTTATAATCGTCGAGAGTGTCACGGGATAAATCACGGAGACCATATTATAATATATAGGTACATGTGTGGTATATTATATGTTTACATAGGCAGGCGGCAGGCAGGCAGCCAGGTACCGAAACCCAACCGATCGCCCTCCCGCCCGGCAGTCCACGGCGTGTACAAAACGCGTTTTGCCCGGTGGTGTGGGAGACCGATATAATAGGCGGCCGACAGCGTGAATCGGCTGCAGAGTCGTGACGAACCTCGCAGGCACTCGGGGATCGCCCGTCGTTTTCTTGGTTTTTTTTTTTATTTAAAATCGTTTTGTCGACGCGAGTCCCACACGAAAACTAGCACTTAAACCGTGATTTGTTTTCGTCCCCGAGATCGATCGTTTCGACGTGCGAAAATTGTATTGCCAGTCGAATCGAGCGTAGCCGAGGCTCACACACGATACCGTGTTATAATATTATTATAATCATATTCACGAGCAAATCGAAATTTCGCGAAAATTTCAATAGCAGAGAAGTTCGCCAAAACGCACGAAACTATATTATATTTTGACATACCGATAACGCCGCATCGCGCACGACATCATGGCCACCTGTAAATCTTGTATCGCGCTGATGAGCTCTCTAGTCCTGCTGTTATCCTGCGCGCTGCGATGTACGGTAGCGGTTCAGACGGACGCACAAGCAATGGTCAGTATAACGATATTATTATTATTTTTTTTCCTGTAGGTTCCTAGAAAACGGTTTCGAATCTTCGTCAAACGAAGATTTTTCCTAATCTTTTTCGAATTAAAAATCAATGTTACGATAATTCTAAACCAACATTTTTATTTCAAAACACGCATTACAGGGTTTTGAAATTGTCGTCCACTAATTTTTTGAGAAACATAAAATGTAAACAACAATAATCTAATTCCTACTTATGTGAGTAAAATAAACACGTAAGACCAGTTTAAAGGTAAATTAATTTTTTTTTGTTCAAAAACAAATTAATTACGTTTTGTTAACGAAATCCTCCCCAAAAAACATGCTGCGCATTGTACTTTGAAATCGATTTTAACTTATTCAAAACATAAAGTAGGAAATTTATTTAGCTCAAAAATATTAAACTATGCAAAATTATAATATTCAAATTTAAATTAATTTCTAACTTCCCTTTAACGTTTTATTTTATAATTATTTTATAAATGTATAGTTACTATAAGTACATACATTTTAGAGGACTTTAGATGTGTAAAATGTTTCGTTATTAGGTAAATGTTATTATTTTTTAACCTGGGATTAATAATAAATTATGACTTTCCTAAACCTGATTAATATACAATATTTTTAACTTAAGTGGATTTTCAAAACGAAGATTTATAACTAATAAAGAGGTATTCGAGTTTAAACATTTTAACTGAATAGTGTAAATTATTTTACAGATGTATTTATCTCAATTTGGTTACTTGAGCCCTTCGATGAAAAATCCGAATTCAGGTCATATCATGTCTGAGGAAACAATGGCCCGGGCGTTAATGGAGTTTCAATCATTCGTTGGTCTAAATCTGACAGGTAAGTGCGTCATTTTACCTGACTCATCCGAATATCATTAAAGAAATCGTATTAATGTCACTGAACCTGAAAAGTGAATTTACGTTGCAAAATGTTTGGTTAGTGCGAAAAAACTTGCCATACGGTACTTATATGTTTTTAAAACAAAATTGTTCTATTATGATGATATAATATATAATATTATGTTAGATTTTAATACAATACCTTATACATAAATATTGTTTATTAAATGAAACCGTTTGTAATAATATAGCTTACAAATGTAAATCGATGAGATGATTCAATGATTCATATCGCGATCCAAGGGCGTGAGCAAGGAGATTAATGACCTTCCTTAACACGCCACTGTCATGGTGTTTTAATCGTGCACCGTAATACCTATATGTATATTTTTTTTTTCATTAGGTATTCGTATAAACAAAAATATATAAGATAATTTTTTTCCGGTAAACCTTGGGGCAGAAAAAAAAACTCGGTCAAATAAACTTGTTCGGCAGGTTTTTACGCGAAGATTACATATTATAATATTAGGTTTGTTTATGCATACTCAATATATGATTTTATTCAATATTTTGATAATTTTGAGTCATGTGCGTTTCACGTTGAATTCCCAAATGCGTCACTAATATTTAATTATTTCATATTTATGAGATGTAGTAGTTGATTGCCATAAAACAGTTACATTGATATTCTATTATATTTGTATATAATTACTAACTTTTAAATACTGAATAACTAATAAAAATCAAAAGATAATGAAAATAAATAAATTCAATATTACATTTCAAATCTAATGTTAATCATAATGGACATATTTTCGAGTTGAAATTTTTTTTATCCAGGAAAATCAATGATTAAATTCATGTGAAGCTTAAATTTAAAATATCCACGTGCTCTTCAACTAATTTTATTTTATTTTAAAAATTGTTCGAGTAATAATTAGATCCATAATTATTGACAAATAGGTATATATTTAATACATTTTCATTAATTAATTAATTATTTAAAATATATTTTCTATATTAAACGCATAAAACTAAAAATTTTGATTAAATTAATTAATTTATGTATGGCCCATATCTCTGGAGTGAATCATAGGTATAATATATATTTAGTAAGATAAAAAGTTGACTTTTTGAGACGCTTCCAATCAAATACCTAGTAGAAAATATGACAAAAGTATTAATGCTTTAGTTTATTTGAGGTAGAAGATGTATTATCTAACTGTAGTTTATAACTTCGTGTACTGTTAAGAGAAAATTAATATTAAAAAAAATACAATAAACAAGGAAGGATCAGCTTATAGTATTTACATGATTAAGTTAATAAAAAAAAACACGATAATATTCAACTGTATAACGTTAATACAATTATGGTTAAAATTATAAAATTTAAACGATCTAAAATCGTATTAATTGTTGTATGATTGATATTTTCTTATGTCTACTGTGTATGTAGTATGTACTCATACTATTTGAATATTAATTACAGGTTAATACACGAGTTTTTATTTATTTATTAATCAATCACATTGTTTTTATTTTTGAAGGTCACTTGGATGACGAAACGCTACACTATATGAGTATGCCCAGATGTGGTGTAAGAGATAAAGTCGGGTTTGCCACAGACTCCAGGTCTAGGAGATATGCTCTTCAAGGTAAATATACAATTTAACACAAATTATATATTTATAGGGACTTAAATTTAATTTAAAATGCAATAAGATCATTTTATTTTTAAATTATAATATTAAAACTATAATCGATTTTGTGATAAATACGTACTCTATACACTCAAACAAGGAATATATTTTATATTCAACGCATGGAATGAATTCGTTATTTTTTCAATCATATAAAACCATATTACAAATTACAGTTTTCATACATTTGAAGTAACAAAGCTATAAAAGTAACAAATATTAGTGAGCAAAGGTATAAAAATGCTAACTGTATGTATATTATTTTTATTCATTGCACCAAACGCAATAATTTTATTAAGTCTGTGGAATAAAATATTCCATCGAAAATATTTCAAATTGCCTTGATTTTCTATTTTCTAATTAAAATACTATTTAGTGTTCAAATTTAAATACTTTTGTTAGGTATGTGTTCATGTATTTAATATAATTTTATGAAGTTGCTCTGTTGGTTTATGCGCAATATTTAAATATAAAAACCATTTTATCAATTATTATATTTTCAACTGTACAAATAATTTTATTCAATATGAATTGGATTTTTGTATTTAATTTAAAAAATTCGCTAAATCAAAATTAGAAATATTTCTTATAAATAATTCCAATACTATTAATATTTATATGATTTTTTTTAGTATTGTTATTAAATTAAAGTTACTCATATTTGATTAACGTTAACCAAGTGTAAGAATTGAAATCAAAAATAAATGATTTGTTCAAAACCAATTTTCTCCAACAAAAAAAAAATCTAATAAAGACCATACATTTTATATGTGGTTTTATTTTTTTAAACTTGTATGTACACAGAGTTTAAAATGGAAACAAAGTAGAGCATAAACAAATAGAAAAATAAAAAATCATTTTATTTGGTACCTACGTCAAGTTAGGGGTTTTATATTGTCTTAAGCAATTGTTTAAACTGATATAAAATGTACATATTATGATAATATTTGGAATATATACATTTGTATATATTATATAGGTACCAATATAAAAAAAATATATTTCAAGTTATTCTGAAATATCGAAATAATAACAATTACAATCGAGCACAAAATATACAGCTTCTGTATTCAACACGGTACTCGGTTTTTGTGCCAATAATGTTATTTTGCAACAGGTATTCTGCATGAGTTCCATCACAGTATTATGCTTGTACCGTATCTATCTATTATTTTGACGTGAAATAAACGATTGAAAATATTGTTTCGATGACATCACATAATATACAAATTTCCGCATATTATTTTCTACAATAGAAAAATAAATAATTGCACTTAGTCATACACTGTTATAATAATACATGTTATTATACCTAAACGCGTTGTAATTGTTGTTGTTGGTGGTAAAAAAGATCTCTCCCTCCACGCACGCACGCATTCGCGGGCAAACGCGCACGCACACACACACACACACACACACACACACACACACCTGCGAGTATTTCTTAAACGTCGTGGTCCATATATTATTATTACCTGTTCTTTTTTAACGCGTACGCGTTAAATCTCTTTTACGCTATTTTGTCAAGTTCAATGCGACCAATTTTCCACTTGTCTTGTCGGTTCTGGACAAAGGACGCACACATTCATCATATTATATATATATATATATATAAAGGCAGTGCATGTGTGGAGATAACGCAATATTGCTTTTTCTATATATATATAATATATTTGTGTGCGTTAACCGTCCCTCAAATCTGGTAGTGACTTATTCAATGTGTATGTTCTGGGTCACATTTCGTGGTATGTATATACCTACAGTCTACACCTTTTAGAAAATTCTTATATAATGCCCGTAGTTAAATAATATTTCAGACGATTGCAGTGTAATATAATATAATATTATTGTACAATAAAAAGAAAAAAAACTAATTTATTATGTTATTCGATTGAAATAGTATAAATTGTTGCCGAATATAATATTATGGTTGGTACAGCGCCTAATACGAGAATACACGTCATTATATTTTATGTCGTGCTTATTCCAGACGATTGTGTGGGTACATAATATTTTGTCTAACTAAATTATACCCACATAAGAGTCTTAATTAAAAATGCTCCAATTATTCCATGAGTACGACTGATATATTAACACAGTTGCTGTGTACATGCATAGAAAGACGTATAATATATTATGCAAATTGTTTGTATGTACCTAGTGTGGTTCTGTCGAAATTTGCCCTTTTGCACCAAATTATACAACTCGGATGTTTGAATATCCGGTCCGATCAAACATCATTATTGTCGAGTATCCTCTGGCCAAAACCGAAACAACAATAAAATAATTGTTCTGCACGCATGCCATTGTAACTTGCCTGGGCAATAATATCATTGTGTGGAATACGTTTACGACTAAAGTGACCCCGAATAACATTTACAATATTTTTGTTATATTAAATTAATTAATAAAAAAGGTAACACTAAATATTTAGGAATCAAATGAATATTATGATTGAACGCGTTTATTATTACGATTTTCGAAATTGATTTGCCCCTGTAAAATCTTTATTATAATTTTTCATATAAATGGAAATTCATAAAACACCGATATTCAGTACTCATAATTATTAATTTAGGTGTTATTTTTTGTTTTTACATTTTGCGTGAGAATTTTAGTCATTCTTTATAATAATAAATTAAATATGAAAATAATGTTAACTACATTTTTTCTGAATACCTACCTATTATTTTGTTTATTTTCTGAATATTTTATTGTTTATGTCATAATATTAACACAACAATGATTGTTAATCGATGGAACCTATATATTGTAGGTATAGGTACTTAACATAATAATATTATTCAGGTGATGATACAAGAGCATAATATAAACAGGATGTAGTGAAAACATAATAATATTTAATTTGTATAATAATTAATATAATATTATTGGATTTTATCAAACAATGTTAATATGGTACTTATACATCATCAATTAAATAAGATTTTCGTTTAAATTATAGTTTTTTTGTAACGCCTTTTCTTAGACTAAATAAAAAAAATAAACAAATAAAAAACAATACAATTGTTACATATTTCGTCATGAACGTCCATTGATATTATTTCCTATCGTCGTACACGTATGCAATTATCGTGTAATGCCATGACCAATTGAATTTTGATTTTTGTGGTATAAGGCTGAAAAAATAATTTAAACAATATTAAACATTTTTACGCTTGTATGAGTAAATACATTGAAATGAAACGAATTTCCGTAAAAAATCCGTCAGATTTGCTGTACTTACGTCCTACGCGTGTATTTTATTTCTCACTATGATAATAATAATAATATAATAACAACAACAACAACAACAATAATAATAACAATAATATATTGTGTTGTTTTAAAAATGTTATATGCTGTATACGTTTACAGAACAATATAAATAATGTAGAACTCGGAAACACCAGTAGGATCAAGGAAATGAGACAATATTATATTTGTCACACGAGAATTGTTGGTTATATAAGCTGTGCTCATAATAATTATGCATATTTCGACCTAGCCGATTAATCTTCTCTAATTATTCGGTGCTGTGTGAGACACACACAAACGTATTTATATTATATACGCATTACACATGTCGTGTAATATATTATTCATAATACCATGTATAATGTATATATATATATATTATAATATGTATTTATAGGTAGCCGGTGGAGGGTGAAAGACTTGACGTATAAAATATCCAAGTATCCTAAACTGCTGGGTAAGTCGGAAACGGACTCGGAAATCCGGAAAGCATTCGACGTATGGTCTGACGTCACACCGTTGACATTTACTCACAAAAAATCCGGACAAGTAAGTTTGGAATATTGCATATCATACATCACTGTTTCGAAATGATTAATTTATAGTATAAATTAAATTTGAATTGTACGTTAGTTTTAAAATTTATGAAATTTCAATAAAATAAATATAGGTACCAATAATTATTATACAGTGGAACCTCGCAACCTCGAACTCAGGTATCTCAAAGTTTCTGTATGTCGATTTTTTATTTCGGTTCCTTGAGACTTGGAGATATCGATGTTCCACTGTATAGTGTTTTATAATTTTTATTTTAATAAGGTATTCAATTTTAATAGAAAAAATACTAAATAGTCTTATTTTGTATAATGTTGTAATAGTTGTTGTCATTAAATAGTTTTTAAAAACTGTACAAATATAGGTGCACATCGAAATCAGATTTGAAAAAGGTGAACATGGTGATGGCGATCCATTCGACGGACCGGGTGGAACTTTGGCACATGCTTTCTTTCCGGTTTACGGGGGTGATGCTCATTTTGATGACTCAGAGAAATGGTCAATAGGTTCATTTAAAGGTAAGATTGAAATTTAAATGCAATTATTTTAAACCGTTTTATTAAGATTTCATAAGTTATCTATAATTGTCACCGATTTAAATTTTAATATTTAAGATTCTATTTAAACATCCAAATAAGAAATCCTCTAATTGCATTACTATTCACAGAATTTTAATATGACTGAACATAATATTGTATGTTTCACCCGTTCGTCAAATAGAATTTCAAATTGATAAGTGGATACATGTAAAGTTTCTGATGTATTATTAATTACTAAAATTAATTATCCCTAAAAGTGTTTACGAAAAAAAAACAATATTCTAAAATAAATAGCTTTTCTTCTTCACTTTGAATATTATAACTATTTTAGTTTTAAAAACCTTTGAAAGCTTTTTGTTTAACTAAAGATCTTTGAAAAGTGATACAGCTTTTGAAACATTTTTAAAAGAATATTTTCAAAGTAAAAAATTGGTCTTAATTAAAAAAAATAGATGAATGCAGATTTTTATAATGTATTGAAACATTGAAATGTATAATATATGTATAGTCTCCTCAGTAAGATTGACAACTATTGTTGACAGCACAGGTTGTTTAAAATTGAAAATAATATTTCCTGTAACCAATGTAAACTAAACTGTGAAAAAAGAATACCTGAGTACCTATTTAGTTTTTTTTTTTTTTTTTATTGAACAAACATAATATATTTACAACCTGTATTTACATGTGATACAATAAGTAAATATGATGATTTTTGGTTAACAGGAGGGGGAAGTCACCCAGTGGCGGCACCCCGGTATTTAGTTTTTTATACATATTTTCCCAAGTACGAATTATTATTATTATTTCATAATATCGATACTCATTACTGTATATGCGTATTATTTCATAATTTTTATCGAAAAATTAGATAATTATTTCGTATGAAAATATAATATATTGTTATTCAATTGCTCAATATAGACCTACTGAATATGGGTGACGTTAACTTGTATTTTCTTATTTACAGGTACTAACTTGTTTCAAGTAGCAGCTCATGAATTCGGTCACTCATTAGGATTGTCTCACTCAGACGTCCGGTCGGCGTTAATGGCGCCATTTTATAGAGGTTATAATCCGTCATTTAATTTGGACAGCGACGACGTGGAAGCCATTCAGGTTGAGCACGAAAACAATTGCCCATCTTATAACTACAGTTATTAAACTCGAAGACGTGATTAACACGACATTTTTTTTTGTCCACCTTTCCAGGCTCTGTACGGCGCTAGCACCTCGGGAGAAGGATCAGACAACGATGACGACAGCACTAGCCAAGGATCGGGTAAAAAGACAACAACGCAAGAACCGCCGGGCACAGAGGGCAGCGACGCTGAATTATGCACTGACACTAAAGTGAACGCTTTGTTCAATTCGGCCGCCGGTGAAACTTTTGTGTTTAAAGGTAAGTCCCCCCACGTCACTTACCTACTCCGTTATTTTGTACGCGAATATTATTGTATTAAAGTATAACGAAACCGCTTGCTCCTCTGTACTGCAGGCGATTACTATTGGAAGTTGACGGACGACGGACTGGCTCAAGGATTTCCCAAGTCCATCGCGGGCACGTGGTCTGGCCTGCCAGGCAACATAGACGCCGCGTTTACGTATAAAAATGGTAAAACTTACTTCTTCAAAGGCACAAAGTATTGGAAATACACTGATACCACGATGGACGACGGATATCCAAAAGACATAAGCGACGGCTTCGCCGGTATCCCGGACAATGTTGACGCCGCTCTTGTTTGGAGTGGAAACGGAAAGATTTACTTTTTCAAAGGTTGGTTTTGTGCGACACGGAAAATATATAACATCATTTCGTCCACATGCATTCGTCTGCAGATACAAACGAACTTAAATACCAATGACATATTTTTATTTACTAATGATACAATCTTACCTAATAGTATGTGTGTTTCATATTAACTAACTCGATTACGTTATCTTAACACTAAGCAACGACAACTACCGAGGTTTTTTTTAAAAACTTGATTAATTTGACATTTCTTCTATTGGATGGTAAGTAGTTACTAAACACATGTATAACACAAAGAAAATTAGCACAAACAATATTAAGACTATATTAGTTATTGAGCTTGAATACTACGCATAATATACTTATACCATATAAATATATAATATACCTACTTGAGAAGACACACATTGTTTTTCAATAAGAATAGTCTTTTGCCTCTAATTAGTTAGGTACGTTAGCAGCTAATAATATAATTATTTGTTTTTGTACGATTTTTTAGTACGATTCGAAGCAAATACTGTAACTTGATTGATAATTTAACTTAATTTTTGTACAACCTATGACAAAATGTTGGTATATTTATATAGGTATTTGTATATTATTATTGCTATCAACAACATTATTGAATTTAAACTGTATGCTTTGAATAGTTATTTTTATTTTTATAATTATTCATTGGACAAGTTTTTATTTACTCAGTGACCGAATTGTGAGCTGAGCAGTTAATATAAATTAATCATAAAATGTTTAGTTAGGTGCATGAAATTATTGTTCTAAAGTAAATAGTTAACAATCTATGTTAATTTACTTTTTTCTTTCAAAAATTATTTTTAACTTTCGTAATTTTAGATTAGGAGCGAAGTGAGGATTAAGTATTAGTTTAACAATGATTTTAATCATTCAGTTGTAATTCATAAAATATTAATCGTAGAAATCTTTCTACTATTTTTTCGTTTTTTATACAAAATACAATTTCCAAATTATTTGGATTCATTTTTAGCTATTTATACCTCGAACCTAATGAAACATGGTATTGGTTCAAGTTATACGCGATATTTTTCATAATATTTGTTTAAGTTATAAAATTAAGATAATAATAATACGAATATGAATATGAGTATGATTATAATATAACATAAACTATCTTTAAAAGTATATGCTGATCCGTCAGTCTCCTTCGTTCAAAATCATTTTTCGCATAACTACAATATCTTTAAAAATTTAAGACATCCATTACAGTACTGAATGACCAGGTGTACTCAAAACCTACTATACAGCTGAGCTAGTTTCCTTGTTTATTTCATTAAATTTTGTATTTAAATTAAACCCTAGGACGATTTATTATTGTTTTTATAAAATCAATACAAGTATAAGGTACCTACAATATTATATTATATAATCTTAATTTTTATAATTTGCGAATGAGAATTCAATTACTTTCATGAATTTTTATCAATCTGCTTATCTATGGATTACCTACTGTTTTACTCTTATAGTTTATTACTTTTTAGATAACTATATTTTAATGCAAGTATTTTTTTGAATTATGTTTTATTCTCACGCACTTCTCCGAGCTTAAAAACCAATCGATATTAACTTCTGACTATGATTAATTGTAAGTGTAATAATTTGTACTTATTTTTTCTTTATACTGAACGTTTAAAATCGGTCATAAATCAAATAATCTACAAAAAAAAAACATTACTTAAATATTAAAGGTTGAACAATAGATTTAAAATACAAATAATAAAAAAAAAACCACAACATATAATATATATTATTATATAATATAATAAATATAATTAATTTTAGGCTCAAAGTTCTGGAAATTTGATCCGATGCAAAAGCCCCCTGTAAAGAGCACGTACCCGAAGCCTATCAGCAACTGGGATGGTATTCCGGATAACATTGATGCGGTTTTGCATTACACCAATGGCTATACATATTTTTTCAAAGACGAGAACTATTACAGGTTCAACGACAGGACGTTTGCAGTAAGTTCAATACTCATTATTATTATGAATTTTTTATTTTTAAACGCTGACAAATTATACCGGTCGTTTTGATTTCCCAGGTCGATACTGCAGACCCACCTTTCCCTCGCAATGCTGGCTATTGGTGGTTTGGCTGTAGGGCCGAAAATAAGGGACATCGGCAAGAAGTGACCGCAGCGCCCAGCATACTCAGACCAACGTGGATGGAAGTCAGACGAGATCACAAAGGCAATCAAAACACTGATGTCGGTGATCTGATAATGGACGCAGGTGAGGATTTTTTGTTTAATGCTATATGAAAATTGGGCTGCAAATGGGCGTAATAAAAATAATGGCTGTCGGTGTGTTTCTTTTTCATTTATTTATTTATTTACACCGAGTGTTCGATTACCTGCGAAAGACGCAAATCAAAATAAATTGCATTCCAATCTGACGATAGTGTGTGCGCTGTGATAAGCCCTATGCGGGACATTCCGGATTAATGTAGTCAAATTTTTAAATACACCTATAGTGCTACTGTAATCAAACACTCGGCGTCGAACGCACGCTGTCCCTTTGCGGTATTGCCATAATCGAACAATTAAAAATGCACTCGCACAAAGGTGCATCTTTTGTGTCCGGCTGGTCGCTGGTGCAGTAGACCGTGTGCATTACAGACGATGCGTTTACAGTGCCACGAGTCGTATCAACGCCACGTATTAGTTATTCTATTAAATTGTTTTGGATGCATGGCGATATTATTATTATGAATTTCAAAATGCTCCCGGTGTTTGATCAGGATAGCTGGACGCGTCAAATTTTATTGACCAATGGCAACTATTTTCACATTGTAAATATTGTTATAATGTCCCTTTTCATGCCACAGGAAATATTGTAATCATTCAATGTAATCGGTTAATGTATTTGCGTACTTGGGTGTCAGTCTTTTTTTATTCCTGTGAATGGTTATTTTTTATTTTATTGGTATGCTTATTTATTTATTTTTTTTACGGATACTTGCGTATCCACTATCGTATGCTAGCACAAAATGCATGATAATATGGTGTTATAAAAATACAATGTTGTGTTTTCTACAAAATTAAAACTATAAAATGTTTAAACGTATTTTTATAATATATTATATATTATATTATATTTAATTTTTATTATACGATCGTTTAAACTTAATAATATATGTGAAATGCGATTAAATACTATAGTAACTCTATAGCGAAAAAGGTGCACGAATGCAATGGGTGTACATTAAATATTATATTAACACGTAAGATTGGATATAATTTGTTTTGCTATAACCAAAGGAACGCAAACAGCTCGCTGTTCTATCGGTTTTAAATACAAATTTTACCAGCTCGGGTTTTCAGCGCATGACACTCGCGTTTCAATTGATTGCTATTTTGGTTTTTATTATTATTTTGATATTGTGCGAATAATATTATTATTGTACTGTAGCTGTATATATATAATTGACGTCCGTTTACTGCACATGCTTTTAAAATTTCTTTATTAGAAAACGACTTTTAAAAAAAAGTTTGTGTTATTTTTTGAACCGTAAACGATAATAATATTATACACTCATCATATTATTGTATATTATTATATTACATGTAGCTGTGTAAACAAGTGGTTCGGTGCTGAACGGTTCGCTCGCATTATGGATATCTGCTGGTATGCTGGTATGCTGGTTAGAAAAAATATCTAAATTATACCGCTTTGAACGAAAAAAAAAAAAAGAAAAAATGCAATTTTTTTTTTAAAAATGCCCACCAACAAATTTTAAACCACCGGTATTGGATTGTGTTAACAGAAGAAGATAGTGGCCACACCGGTATTTTGAAAATGTGATACTGTGCGGGGGACCGCATCGATTTATTATATTGTTTGTTGAATGTTTTGGACACGGTGTAATACCTTACCTACACGTCAAGTGCTGAATACAACTACCGGACCTACCGAGTTATCGACCGACTGCAGCGCCGCCGTGCCGGAGGCTTGTTTTTGTATACATCGGTATAACACCTATACAAATATGAAAAAACAAATAATAATAATTGTTATTAGGATTCAAAAGGCCCTTGTACTGCCTTTAGTATTTATTCCGAACTTTGAATGTACGAGTTCAGCGTTGGGTCGACTTTCTTAAAGAGACTGAATTTTACACATCGTTATATAATATTATATGTACCCATATATTTAAGCTGATGTCATTATATATAGTTTTTATAGTAAATATTATTATTTTATCGTAATATACGTAGGTATATGTACGTTTGTTTTGTTTGAAAATTAGTATATTCTCATTCCTTGTGGACATGATATTATTTTGTATTTTATTTTAATAATAATAATTATCTCGCGACACGTGAAACAATACTATGTTGCATTTATATATATTATTTAGTACATATTGTTCAACTTTAACAGTTTTTAAATGAAACTTGAAATATTGTCTGAAAATATAGAAAATGTAACTACTGATTTAAGTGTATTTTATTCTAAAACCATACTTGGGTATTCGACATGTTTTTTTAGATAAAAACAATGAATAATTTAAACGTCTTAAACGGAAGAAAATATTACAAAATACGTATTTATCAATCATCTTGTCTTTAAGTTTATTTAAAATGTAATTGTATTAAGCTTGTTATATAATTTAAAACATAATAGTTGCTTCTTGTAAAATAGATTACAAATATGGAGATACGTCTTTTAAATAATGTTTCTGTTAAAAGATTGGTGGATGAAAAAAATTGTCGTATATGTTATGGTTCTAAATTTAAAAATCAGCAAAAGTTTTTTATAGAACAATATGCAAAAAAATTCATATCGGGAAATACAATTCGTTGTGTTAGTATTAAAAAATAAAACTCGAAAGCAAGATAAACGACGATGCGTAGGAAAAAAGGCATGTGGCAATTTAATAGCTATGGTGGAGCGGAAAAAGATTCCAAGAACAGACGAAGACGAAGCTTAGCCGATTATACGTGTGGAGAGCCCTTTAAAAAATTGATGAAATTACAAACTATTATTCTTCTTCTTCAAAAAAAATTACCAAGCAATAATTTCATATTCCAAGTACGAATATTATTTTATACTTTTTATTACACGTTGGCTGATAAAGTATGGTTTATTTCTAAATTATGTAATCAAATCAAATCAAAGGAGTAAACTAGGTACCAATATAATACATTTTACTAAAGAAAAAAAAATATTATTATTATTGAGCATAGAATGGAAAAATTACATAAGCTAATAAACTGGAATATATACGATAAACAGTATTTTTGATATATCATGAATTTTTTTGAGCTGATTTACAATATTGTGTTTTTTGTAGCAACATCATCTGATTATTCGAAATGTACATTTTAATTAATATTATTATATACTTTTATTTTTATGAGTTTGTATATTCATAACTAAAATAACTAATTGTGATGTAAATTATTATTTTTGTTTTGATTTATCGTGTCATCATTTTTTTTTGGACAGAAAGCACAAAATGCTGTGAAAGTTTCATAATTTTAAATAATATCGGACCTAACGTAGTTAAAAGTATGATCATTTTCAGAATTTTCAATAACATTTTAAAACCATACGGACTTAATAAATAATATTATGGACACTGAGACCAGAGTTCGAGGATATTTTTTCACTCATTTTTAATAATTCTAGAGCTGTGACATTTCCACTGATTAGTGTTCTGTAGAAATGACATTTACTCCAAACGATTTGACCATTCATGAAATCTACAGAGAAATAATTAAAAATTACAAAAATAGATTTTTCTTTAAGTGTTTTATTTGTTAAATTAAAATTTCCTGATTTTTAATTTGTAAAAATTGTTTAAGATTATTCACAATTATTATTTAAGTTATTTGAAAATTCTGTAGGAATCTATTATGAACATTTTTTTTTTTTGAATAGTGCATTTGTTTTGGTTGGAAAATAATTATAATATTATTACACTTTGAGTATATTTATGAGTATGTTAGTATGTGGTAATTAATCTTATGGACCGAAATTGAAATGGATAGTTTAAAATATTTAAATGTTGCAATTCAATTCTAAGAAATGTAATATAAATTATAATATTGCGTATTAGGTATATTATAATATGTACCTCTATAAATTGGTTCTGATGATTTTAGAAAGGAGTTTGGTTTTTTTTTTTTTTGAGATGTTGTTTAGTAATTTTCTTTGAGATAACTACAAACGAAGATCTAAGTGAATATGTAATATTTGATGCAATCTAAAAAGTAGTTCAAAATTAAAATAAAGAAATGTAGTTACTTGTTACAATAGCATTTTTGAAGCACCGACTGGCGTGGAGACTCTTGACATCCGAGTCTGGTTTCTGATGTAATTTTTTTTGTAGACTTATTCATATCTACTTTGAACTACCTTTTTATTTTTTCTGGCAATGTCATGTAAGTTATTCTAAAATTTTTCATAGAATAATAACTTTATCTGTATTGGTAAGTTAAACTCAAGTGACTAGACTGCAAATATACTAATAAATCTCTTTTGTGACTAAAACTAGTAGGTATGATATTTTTTCCTCTGAACTATATTCTTATTATAATATTATCCTGTTTAAGTGCACGTATTTTTGGTGACCTATATGCCAATTTTACAACTATTTGACCTTCTAGCTGGTAGTTAATCTTTTAAAAGTAGTTTATAATAGGTACCATTTATAACAATAGTGACAAATTATATAAGGATTTATTTAATAATGATAAAAATAATATATATATATATTCAATTATTCATATATATTTATATATGAATATATATGTATTAAAATTCAGACAAAGCTTGAAAAGTCTAAGAAGGTAATTAAAATATTTGTATAGCTTTCTGTTACAATCATCATAAATATTAAAATGGTACATACACTTACAAATATTTATGCCCCGGCCTGCGGTGTACATGTGAAGTACTACAACTGAACTCACCAACTGTTCGTTTCTGAAACATGTGCTTCATAAAAAGGTTCAAACGACGTTTTCTGTAAAGATTTTATGAAGTTTTAAACTTAAATATTTAACATTAAACGTTCATTTTTAAGTTTATATTTTCGTTTAATGTCGAGTGTTATGCGTCAAGAAAAACAAGAATCTAAATATATAATGTATTAGATCTAGATAATAAGGTTTTAACCGATTCTTATTTTTGAAACACAATTATTTTTTATAACATCATTTTATACACCAAGTTAACAGAAATAACTAATACTCATTTAATATTTAACTATTAATATAATTCATAAAAATAACACATTCTTTAATTTAACGCATGGATTAAATATACAAAATGTATGTAAATGCATATTTAATCTATGTTAACCACATTTAAATTTATCTTATAACTAATATTATTGAATAAGAAATTCTTATTAGTTGCTTATTTTAATGTCAAAAAAACACAAACAGTTCGTTCCTGAACAGGAAAACTCCACTAGGGGGCGCCCATCAACGCTACGATATCGTGGTTTTTCCAAACAGTAGCAATCAATAAGGTCAAGTACCTTATTAAGGGATACATTCGATAGTGGTACATAGACAAGTGTCCCCGTAAAATAATTCAAGTGACTGTCAATGTCCTTCTCATTCCGCACAAAAGGGATCATTAACTTTTTGTAATATTTTACAGATGAAAAATGCAAAAATTGTAATTTTTTTTTTAAAGATAACTCTAGAATATTCAACGAGACGCACAGCTGGCTTGCTAAAAGTAGTTCACCAAAACACACAATCACCGTCTTGTGTATTATATTGACATCGTTGTGGTGGTGCATTTCCTGAACTTCCGGAACCAGATCCAGAGTTTCAGGGTTCCAGGCGTTACAGTGTTCCAGGCGTTAAAGATACTCAACCGTTTGCAATTATATTCTTAACTGTGATAAAAAAGTAAACTACTTACCTATTTATATTATTATTGTAAGTATCTGTAATACGTTTCATATTTTTTTAATTTTAATTAATATTTATATATTAATAATTTATTGAATGAAAGATTCATTCAACCGATTTGTGTTAACTCACAATATATTACACATGTTAAATTAATTTTTGGGTTTATACCTAATAATAATTTATTATAATACTGTAAAATACCTTATAATATTATGGTCCATCAGTCTGTCGTGATTTAATTCAATTGATCATTGGTATGGTTACCATTCACCAATATAATAGTATTATTATTTTGTAATCATATTATTCAACGAAGTTTCTCGCATACTCCTACGACTAAGCACTAATCCTAGATAGTATTTCGAAATGATAATTTTTCAACAATATTATAGAATATTTTAAAAACGATCTAACGACGATCCTATTTTTAAAATGTTTCTAAAATATTTCAAAAACATTATCATATCCTGAAATGCTGGGTGGGATGTATTATTAATTATCTTTAATGTTATAATATAATTATTGTTTCATCGACATTAAATTAATTAAGTCTTCTAATATTATTATGTCGTACATTTATATTATATTATTTTATATTATATAAAAGCCAGTGAATTTATTGGTCACGTATTTTATGACATATTGGCAAAGTCAATTATTACATAGTACTGAATTTGTTTGCCATGATAAAATTAGTTATTGATTAAACCTAAGTAATTTTAAATTCAAAAATTGTGTAATGTGCTTTTATTATACTTGTTTATTTATATTTGTCAATAATTTAATAGAACATTAAGTTTTTTGAAGATTAAACAAATTTATTTGGATAAAAATGTTATACTGATTTGTACTTTCCATTTGCAGATGCATAAAATATCAAGAGTGTTTGATTTTATTTTTAAGTTGAACATTTTTTAATACCAA